AAGTTCACATGAAACATGAGGCCCGAGGAGTCCAGGGAAAGGGCCACAACCACAGCTTGAGCAGGGAGGGCTGAGGAAAGCCACAGTCCTCAGCGTTGCCTGGCACAGCCAGCATGTGGCCCCTGTCCATTTGGGCTTTGTGTCTTCTCTGTGATGTCCACGTCCTGCCTTATCTGTGTGCTCAGGGGGTGTGGTCATGCTCATCTCTCTCCATCCTTCCCAGCCCTGCCCATCAAGTTCACAAAGGGACTGAAGAAGGAAGAGGCCAAGGAAGGGGCAACAGTTACACTGCGCTGTGAGCTGAGCAAGGAGGCCCCTGTGGAGTGGAGGAAGGGGCCCAAGACCCTCCAGTCTGGGGACAGAGTCAACCTGAGGCAGGAAGGAGTTGTATGTGAGCTGGAGATCCGTGGCCTGACCGTGGCAGATGCTGGGGAGTACTCGTGCATGTGTGGGCAGGAGAGAACCATGGCCATGCTGACCATCATGGGTAAAGACCACGTGTGGCCAAGCAGAGCTGTGTTTTGGCGTCCAGTTATTGACTTGATGGCATCCTGCTGAATTCATCCCACCTTCCTGGGCTGTTGTATGAACCATGAGAAACCATCATCTGAGCTTCTTCTCTCCCAGTGTGTCACTGCTGGTTCTGTCCTGTTGTCCTGTTGGTCTCTGTCTTTTCCTCTGTCATGTCATGTCCTGTCTCTGAAGGTCTCCTGAGACTCTGATGTTCTATTCCTGTCTGACCCTCCCCAGCCCTGCCTGCCAAGTTCACAAAGGGCCTGAAGAAGGAAGAGGCCACAGAAGGGGCCACAGTCACGCTACACTGTGAGCTGAGCAAGGAGGCCCCTGTGGAGTGGAGGAAGGGGCCAGAGGTCCTGAAATCTGGGGACAGAGTGAGCCTGAGGAAGGATGGAGTTGTGTGTGAGCTGGAGATCCGTGGCCTGACCATGGCAGATGCTGGGGAGTACTCGTGCGTGTGTGGGCAGGAGAGAACCTCAGCCACACTCAACATCAAGGGTAAAGACCATGTGTGGTCACCTGAGTGGCTTCTCTCTGACACCTGTTCTCTGCTTTCCCAATGTCACTGCTGTCTCAGAGTCACGATCACCATCTGTCTGATCCATCCCACAAACACACTGGCCAGCCCTGTCTAGAATCAGTGGGTGATGGAAAGACCCTCTAGGGAGGCACCAGCAGACAGATGTCATGGTCCAGGAGAGCTGCCCAGGGCCACTGGCATGTGACTGGGGCTCTGGATATTGGGCTCTGGAACCCAGGCGTGGGGTTGGGGGCATTCATGGGATTGGCAGATATGCACAGGAGGGCTGAAGTACAGCATTGGGGGGTTCAGAGAGGAGGTGGTCAGACAGGCCAGGCCCGCTTGTCCGTGGTGA